ATGTAGCAGCACTCCATAGCGAGTCAGGCTATTTGTCAGTCGATGTAGCAGCACTTATATAATATAATAATTATATATGTAACTTGTAAATGTAACTACATCCGGAATTTTTTTTTTAATAATGCATTATTTTAACCAGATGTAGTTACACATCTGATTTTTTTCGGATGTAACTACGTCCAAAAATTTATTTTGTTTAATAATGCATTATTTTGATGTAGTTATGCATCAAGAAAAACTCTTGGATGTAGTTACATCTTTCTAAAGATGTTATTAGACATCAATGAAATTTCGGATGTTGTTGCACATATGTTAATTCAGTAAAGAAAAAAAGCGAATGATCTTACACAAAAATGTGCGGATGTTATTTCACTACTCCACGGATGTTGTTGGACAGATGTAGTAATCTTTTCCCCTAAAAAAGTGTTTTTCAAATAGGGCTTTCTAAAATTCCTCCTTCACAATACTTTACCAAAAAATTGTCCATAGCAACTGCTTAAATAAGACATTAAATTTTACCCATTAATTATAAAATATTTTATCTTTTTTTGAAAACTTCTAAAATTTCTCGAAATTTTCTGAAAAATTTTTAAAGATAAAAATCTGTGGAAAATTTTTATCCCTAAAAAATATTATTACAAAAGTTTAGATGAGATATGTAACTATAAGATATATTAGCAGTACAAACCTCTAATACAGATCATGACGTGATTTATCTCCTACTACATCATCACTACCTCACTTTAATATTTTCTGAAAAACAATTTTAAAAAATTCATTATTTTTAAATTCAAAAATTTTTTATAAATTTTTTAAATACCAAAATAGATCTTCGAAAATCTTAAATATGCTTAACAGTGCAATATAGCTGCAAATAATATGCTTGGAATTCTTAAACACACATTTGTATCAAAAGACATTGACATTTGGAAAAAAATTTATACTGCATATATTAGATCACATCTGGATTTTGCCATACAAGCTTGGAATCCTTACCTTGATAGTGACATAAAAAAAATTGAAAAGGTACAATGCAACGCAACAAATGTTCCTCAGGTTTTGAAAAGTAAAGACTATATAACTTGATGTAAAATCATAAAATTAACTACTCTTAGACAGACAGAAAAAAGGCAATCTTGTTCAAAAAGATAAGCTTCTCAACAATTTAAACCTAATTGATTGGCACGTAATGCCTTGCAGCACCCAGAGCTGAATATCAAATTAGATTTCTTCTCGAGATTGTCAGAAACTGCAAAATCAGACATAAGTTTTTTAACAACTGTGTAGTCAATGACTGGAATGCTTTGCCAGATAATGTCATCGAGGCAACATCAGTTGATAAATTTAAACAACAACTGAACAGTTTTTAGTCATCATAGTTACTACAGCTCATTTACCACACAAAAGTGGCTGACATATGAGATGCGTATAGTCAGCTGATGATGAGTTTAACAAGGCTGTGGCTTTCTGTAACTTAACTAACTAATTATAATAGTTTAAAAAATAATTTTAAAATGTATATTTTAGTAGTATTTTAAACTTTAAAGTTTTTGTAATGACCACCAGTGAAGTTAAAATAGGTCTAAAAAACCTATTTAAAGAAAACAAATTTTGAAGACAGTAGCTTGATGCAGTTTACATTTGATGAGTATTTTTATTAGGACATAATTTGTTTTAATGCGATCAAAAGTCTTAAGGCAAAGTTTAACTTTTTATTTAACTTTGATAGAGTTTTAATTTTTTTGACAGACTTTTTTTAATGTTTGCTTAAAGCAAGTTTTACAAGGTTGCAATATGAAAGGTTGTACTGGATTTTTTGTTACCAATAACAAGGTGATCATTATAGTGATAATATTGACCTGATATGAAATATCAAGAACTATTTAAAATATCAGGAACTAGTACAAAATATAAAGAATCAGATGAAACACCAGAACCTACATAACAAATCAGATACCCATAATAAATAAAACATAAATCACTGTTTGAGATATCAGGAAATATGTAAAATACCATGAACTATATAATATAATAGGAACTAGTCAAAATATCAAGAAAAGTTATTAAAAGCTATTCAAAACACCAGTAACTATTGAAAATACCAGGAACTAAACAAAAAATCAGGAATTATTTAAAACATCAGCAACTACATAATATACCAGAAATTACACGATACACAGTCTTCTCCATTTAGCCAGCGCTTTTACACTTAAGTCTTTTCTCACTTGCCCACACGCCTGCAAAATTTTAGCAAGCAAGTAAAAAAGCGCTTGCCAAAAAAATAAAAGCCTTTTGTTTTAAATGGCAACAAAAAATATTTTTATTTATTTGTTTAACTTTTATGAAAAATACTCTTTTTTTTAAGTTTTTTTTTTAATTATTTTATCTAGTATTTTTTCAAAGCATTCTTTTTGTTATTTTTATTTTAATTTAAACAGCAGAAAAAAATGAATTTTTTAAATCGCGCAGGCTAACTTAAAAAAGACCATCCTACCAGCGCTTTTTCGTGCGCTGGCATTAAATTATAAATGAAGAAGGATACACCAATTGATGCTCATACATCTTTTTGTGAAGTTGGTCAGAATAAGGAAATCTTTTGAAATATTTAAAGGGATTTTCAACTGCCAAAACTAGTTGTGTTCATATTAAAGAAAGTGTTTAAAAAAAACATTTGGGATTAATTTTTTTGTTTGAAACTAAATAATGAACCAACATAATTAAAATGATCATTTTAGTTGAAGCTCACCTTCTCCATTTTTTTTTTTTGGTTCTCGGGGTCTGTATAATGAAACAAAATTCAGAAAGATAAAGCAAAAAAAAAAAAAAAAAAAAAACGGTTTTAAGCATTAAAAAGGACAACTTTCCTATATTTTATGTGTTTTTTCTTCTAAAGAGGAAAGAGAAAATAAGTATCATCATCTGTTTGTAAAATATATTTGTATAATTATAATGTAACAAGTATATATCAAGGGTGAAATTATACGATCGTGATTTGCAAACTCTGGTAAAATATTTGGTCTTTAAAATTTTAGTTCATGCAAAGCTGTGTATTTTGTTTACAAGAAGCAAATTGTTAAAAGTTTGCTATCGAGAAAGTTACAAAAAAAACAAAAAAAAAACAATAAACTTACGACTACAAAAGTAATAACACTTTAGTCACTAACTGCATTATAAAAATTATTAAAACTATAATAGTGTTATTACATTTATCAAGCACTTATTACTTTTA